AACCCGCTTGGAGAGGGCTGTCCTTGATCAGCCCAACATCCAAACTGACCTTGTTATCAGTGGTGACAAAGCCCCGTCTCCTCAGCAACTTCAGGACATCCTTACGTTTATGGTAGCCCCTCAGGTGGGGGTCGTGCAGGCAGTTGTACTGTATAGTGAGGTGGTGGTTGTAGGGGTCGTCCAGGGTGAAATAAGGAAATGGTTGGTGAAGCTGTAAGAGAGAGTACAAAGGAAGCAGAAGAGAGAAGCAAAGAGGTGCCGCTTGGTGCTTGTGAAAAGGTGCCACAAACTGGTGCAGAGAACTGGCAAATCCTTTCTCTCTGCATTCCAGGGAGCTTGGAGCTTCCCTGCACTGCCCAGCCCTGTCCAACTGAAGGGCTGCAGCTCCTGCTGTAGAGCAGGCAGTCATAGGAACTCCTCGACCTGAGGCGTTGCTTTACCTTTTCCCCCAGCTTTCCCCTGCAGAAGACAGGCTTGGATCCGGGCTTCACAGGAATCTTGACCCCAACTGGAAGGCTCAGCAGGTCAGAATCCATTTCAGTGGTATCCCTTTTTCCCAGGGGATATTCTGGGGCTGAGCTGGGAACACACAGACACCCAGGCAGACCTGCCAGAGGGATGGGCTGTTGGGATAACTGTGGGGAGGGTGCCTGCAGCAGCACAGATCTCCTTCCCACCCCGGGATGGGGGTGGGTTTGTGGCAGCTTTTCAAAATCTTATTTGGAGCTGGTGCTGCCCCCCCCCCGCAGTGTCCCTTTGTTACATCCTTTATCCCCCTGTATCCCACTATATCACAATACACCCAGTAGTGCCTCTGCCTTTTGGCAGGACACCAGCAATGAGATGGTGCTCCACAATTCCTTCCAAGAGCTCCTGTGGTGCTGCGCAGTGCTCCACAGCCCCTTCCAAGAGCTCTCCTGGTGCTGTGATCCTGCACTAACAATTTGTGCTCCAGAGGCACAATAACTGATGTCCCAGTGAGTGGCTTAATTTGCCCATGGGGCATTGTGACATCATAGTGATGTCACATCACTGCATTGTCACACCATTGTGATGACATCCCACCACACAGAAAGTGTCCACCAAACCTGTGGGTGGGGACCCCCTGGAGGCCTCTGTGGGCCTCCCATTATGTGTGACCTGGCTGGGAGAGCTCATGTGCCCAGGCCCCTTCCCCCTCGCTGTTCTGTCAGTCTGGGAGTCCTCACCAAAGGAGGAACTGCCAGGCCAAAGATGCCTGGTTTGGGCTTTGCTTTTCCTTTTCTCCCCTTTTAGACCTTCTTCCCTGTCATGGCCAAACAGCTGCAACTCAGGCAATTGCACCAAACTGGATATTTGGCCCATCCCTGTCATCATCCAATTCCTGATTCCCATCTTGAGAAACAGAAGAGAAACACAGGCTGAGGGAAATCCCCGTCCTCCCCTTCACTCAGGCTCCCCCTCAGCCCGGATACCTCTCTGCTGCCTTTCCCATCTCCCCTGCCCTCGTTTCTGCTGCTCTCGCTTCCCACCCCTTTTTGGCTGGATTTGGGGAGGTCTCCAGTGCCTGTTCCTCCAGCCCCTCTGGTTCATGGGGGCAGCTTTCCCCCTGCAGAGCTCCTGCTCGTTGAGCAAAGGCCAGAGACAGGCACAGCCTGTCTCTGTTGGACGTGCAATGATCACCACGGGTGTCGAGGGAAACAGCGAGGGGCACAGCCAGGCATGGTGTTCCTCTCCTTCCGAAGCAGTTTCTGGCACATGCTCCAGCTGCAGCTCTTCTGTTCAACGAGTGGAGGAGCAGCACCAGCTGCGCCCAAATTCCCTGTCCCGCGGTGAGCACTCAGCCACAAGGGCCATGTGTTCACACACATCTGCACCTCAGGCAGTGCTAAGGGAGCTCCATCAGCTCAAGGATGCAGTCCCAGGAGGGCAAGTGTGTGCAGTTGCAGCTGGAAAGCACAGATGTTGAGGAATACACTTGGGAAGGGAGCTCACGGTGCAGCTGCAGTGGGAGCTGCAGGTTGTGCCTTGGGTGGCAGGACCTCAAGGCATGGGTACCTGTGGCACAGTGAGGGAATCAGACACAGAGGCAGGGCGGGAACTGGAGACTCAGGAGGGAGAGCTGAGACTTCATAGGTTTGGGCTGTGAAAGTACAAAAGCCCCAGGTGTTCGAGGCACCAGCTCGAGCTGTTTCTGTCCCCGCACTGTGAATAAATGGCTGTGTGGAACGAGACATCTGAGTCCCTGATACGGGAAACCTGAGGTCGAACTGGTATGGAAACGTGGTCTGACTGTGCGAGTTGGGGGACGTGGGGAGTCAAGCAGGGCTCCTGGGGCTCGCTGGAGCCGCTGTGATGAGGCTTTGGTTCCAGCAGTGACAATCTCTGGTGGTGGGAGCGTGACTGCCAGAGGGCCTCCTGCATGCAGGGAAGTTTCTAACCAAGAGGGATGGCTGGGAGCTGGAGCAGCCCCCAGGCCATGCATTCATTCCCTTAGTGCTGACTGTGTGGGCAGGGAACAGGAGGAACTCCGGTTTGGTCAGGCAGGAGGGAAGGACTCCTGGAGCCAGGGAGAGAGGGGGGCTGCTGGGCAGGGCTGGGGACGAGTCCTGCCGATCCTGAAGGGCTGGAAATGTCCTGGGAAAACAGGTTTGGAGAGAGAGAGTGGGTGAGATCGAGGCTTAGCCTGATCTGCTGCCCACTGCCTCTGATCCACACGGTTCAGGTGGAAAGACCTTCCAGAGGTTGGAGCCAATAAATTCCTGCATATGTCCCTCCTTCCCCGTGCCCCAGGGCTGAGTGTCCCTCCAGCCGCCCTGC